AAGAACATGACTAAATTGCAAACAAAGAGAGCAACATGGATGAAGAAGCTTACCGAGATACTGAAGGCTGCTGCGCCCTAGCAGAATGTATCTCTAGAGAATGCTAGTCCGGGCTGGCTTATGAAGGGGGCGTCCAGGGCACACGCAGGCCAAAAGTCAGTCTTTATTAAGGGAGCTGCATCAACCATGCACTGCATGCAGTCTTCTCATATTCCCAAGACATAAATCTGAGTAACACTGTATCTCAAGCACACGCAGTCTTCCCTAGATTAATGTCATGGTCAACCTCCTTAATTACCATGATTTGCCAAGAAAACAGAGAGACTATTTCCCAATAATACGACTCTAGTCAAAGAGGCAACACTGCATGCAGACTTCTCATCTATAATCTATAATTTATCAAAACTCAAAAGTATTTCTTGTTTGAACTGCTCCTCTTAGTGAGCTGCTGTATGAACAAGTTGGTGCGAGGTTTCATTCGCGTAATGGAACCGGGGAGAGGCCTCCCTTTTCATCTAATTTTTTTTTCTTGCCTACTTTCTTCATAATGCTACTTTCACATCAGAGCTTGAACCTGAAAACGTCATTCCATATACCCAGATTGAAAGGAGATTAAACCACTGGCCTCTGCATAAATCAATGCACACTGTTTATTCATTTATTCTAACTCATTCAGAAGATGTGTCTACTAGCTTTAGGTCCATAAATTAAGCAATCTCAAAATTATTTCATTGCATAGCTTTGACATGTTTAATTGGTGCCATGCGAACCGAAACTATAATACCTAAATAGTTCATCCCCACTAACCTATTTCTCTTGACATACAACCCATCCACATCATCAAGTAGGTCCCATGTGTAAAAAAGTTTTCCTTCTCTCAATAATCATCCATTTTTGAGAAATAATATCTTCCTATAATAACTTCTATCACGCTGTGCATGTCATGTATCGTGCATGGAAGGCAAAAGGAGGGCCTCTACATCTTTCCATCCACTATCCAGAGGCCCATCGTTTCTGCTCTGTCTACTGCCAAGTTTCAATTTGTATCGCCAAGCAACCTGATCAACGATAAAGACGGAACTCTTTCTCTTCTTGACTGACTCGTCTCCAATGAAATGGGGGTATAAAAAAATGCAATGGGGGTCAGATTTTTTACCGAACAATGGGCCTCATATTTATGTGAGGCGCATCACATCCACACTGCTTCCCCTTCCAGAAACTGACCAAAAATAATGCCCACCCGACTGTCTCCTCTGCACTCCGTTCCATTTCCTTTCTCCACCTTTCCTATTCCTCTTAAATAGACAAGAATGGTCACCGGCCGCTTCTTTCTCCATCTACCGCGGCCGTCCCCCCGCTGCTCCATTCTCTGCGGGCACACACAGCCACACAGGAGTAGGCATGTCCATCTCACACGAGCGGGTCTGTTGATTGATGATGAAACGTGATGTTCTAGACACACTCCGTCCATCGTCGCCAGCCCCAGTAGTCCTCCTACCCCCAGCCCCAGAAGTCACGATCAAGTCCGCCATATTCCGTGACTCGTATCAGGTCGCCCGTATAAATTCGTTAGGTGATGTATCCACAAAAGCCGATTCATCTCGAAGAGATAGGCCCCTCATATGGACGCCCGTCAGGTAATCTGTACAAAAATACCAATTCATTGTTTTAGTTCTGCCGTGTTCTCCTAGATCTAATACTAATCTTATTATCCTTTATATTCTTTCACTATGCGCCTAAAATTTATACCCTTCTGTTTTAGGTCAAACTGAATCTCTGTAGATCTATGACGTCGTGCTGCTAGCAATCAAATATTTACGATTTCTTCATGGTGATAGTAGAGATTAGATACTGCATCTGAATTTTACTATGCAAATGGTTGTACCGTGTTCTTTTAGAAAATAATACCAACAGTAGCACTCTCAGAGAATGATGTCATCCACAACCTCTACACTGAATGTAATCTTTGGCCAATTTTGGGGACAAAAGTTTAGTACTAGACGGTGCCCGTGCAAATCTGAAATAATCCCATGTTGAAGCTGCAGATGTGTCTTTTCAGGAAACTTTCTTCTCAGAAATACTGTTTCGCAAACTTTTTAATTTTACAAAGGCAAAAACAACTTGAATTTATTTTGTACTATAAGTTATGGTGCAAGATGGTGTATGTTGTTCTGACCTTCACATTATTTTGTTCTGTAGGTTTCATGGCTCTTTCATGCATGCGGCTTATATATAAAAAAATGAGATCCATAGGCACTAGCACCCTGGACATATTTTTATAGGAGAATCCCACCCGGGTGAGGCGCCACAAATTCGCTCCCGACGGGAGTCAAACCGTGGCCGCAAGGTTTTGCCACCGCGTCCCTTGCCACTAGGCTACAGCCTAGTCCTCATGCATGCGGCTTATTGATCATTATGGCTGCCCCACATATTAGTAGGATGAAAATTGAAGCATTCTGATTATTCATTTATTTCAATTGTTATTTGTGAGCAAAGGGACATCTTTAACTCTTGGTTCGATAAATTGATATACAGTGTACTCCTCTACAACTTTCTGGTATGCCAGTTCTTGATGCTTTCCTCAAACCCCTCTTCCTTAGATTGCTCATTATCATATTGTGTCTTGAGGTCTCATAAAATGGATTTGCAACATGGATGTATATTTAGTTTTGATGCTATAACTTTCTGAACTCTAATTGAGCTTCAACATGATTTATACATCAAACCAAGTTATTTAATTTTTTACGTTGTTTGCTATTTTCTTTAGTTTGCCAATTTGTGTTGTTTCATGATTGACTTCAGAAGACTAGCAACTCTATCTCCACCCTTTTAGGTAAACAACTCCTATGTTATATTTGGCTACCATTTGTAGACCAAGCCAGAAATGACCATCAAAATTACAAACTTGCTCAAGCATCTTCGCCAAACAACCATCCGTAGATATAGTAGTCATTTTCTTTCGTCACACAATAAGGACTCTTCCTCTTTCGGAAGAGACTATTTATTGAGTTTGGTTCCATATAACACATGATTAACTTTTTTTTATTTTACAGGGAGTAACCCAAGATTATCTTGATTGAAAACACATTTTTTTTATTTGGACCATGCTCATCTATTAATGTTTGATAAATTCCCCCCTATTCACACACCAAATTGCTTACTCATATTTCCGCAGCAACGCGCGGGGTATCATCTAGTAAACTAAAACGGATGTATCCATTTATCAGGTCATCTGAATTCTAAATATTGAATACCACCTGTAGTAACCAGAAAGCAGCATGGCAAGGACTAATTTCAGAAGTTTACACCCATTAAACTAATAAAAATCAGTGTGGACAAAGTGCTAAAATAGACGGAAACCGAAGAAGTTCTCATGATGCAATAGGCTAAGGGCATCTCTAGGCGAAGCATTATAATTTAGCCCCTTGTATGCCTCCCCAAACTAACTGCTTGTATTTCAGGAGTTAAAACATGTGGTTCTTTGCTGAAGACTTAAATTTAACTCCCTAAAACTTTTTCCATGTAGATTTAAACCTAGATAGCAGAATTTGTCTCAAACTACAAGTGGCTAGTCCAAGATGACAGTGGGTATGAACAGATTTTTGTTTCGGTCTGCAATATGAAGGCATATAAGCTGTACTTGTTGTAGCTTTTGATTAGAAAAAACTATCTTGCTGCACTTTGATTATTTTGATTTTTGTACACATAACATTTGGTTGATACATGATAATAAAAACCATATCCTCTGTTTCCTTGAATGGGGAATGCCATGTGAAGGAAAAAGAGGATATGAGAAAGCTTTTGGATTGTCAGCAGCAAGGGCGCCAGCAAATAAGAGCAGCGTGCTACATTTGCACTATAGGTAGTAGCAAAAAATGTATTAGAGAGTTTGAGAAACCAACAACCTACTGATACTTTACTAGTCACACAAGATCTCAAATTGATTGGGTCGATCTTATGTCTGAATCCAGTTTTGCCAATCTGTTTGTGTACGCGGCAAGCTGAAATACACCCAAGTGATAGAAAATTCATGTATTCCAAGAAAAAGAATCAGGAAATATTTGAAAATCTTTTGTACAGCATTGGATGTCAGGTTACACAAATAGCTCTTTTGTATGTTTATCATTTGATAGAAATTAAATTGAACCTTCAACATTTTCTAAAATCAATATACAGATGTAAATAGTTCAGCTGCGTCATTTTCCATTGATGATTTGCTTTAAATAGCAAAGCAGACCCACCCGTTGTGGCTCCATGTTGGGTGGCCAGACTTGCTTAACTGAATGAACTAACCTTTTTAACTGAACTATTTTGCAATGTTTTTTTTTTGATTGACAAGGCTAAATATGATCAGTTTGTACACTCTTTCGAAGTCTGTACATAGTACTATCTGTTGACACAGGCCCAACAATTGACGCTGTGATCTGCCTGTA